GCACCGCCCCGCCGCCAGCCCCGGTGACGCCGAGGCGAGCCCGTGGGACGCCGTGGTGCTGGGCTCCGTCGGGCCTGCCGTCATCAGCTCGCTTCCTCCAGCAGGAATAGCCCCACGCCAGCCAGCGGAGCAGCCTCAGCAGCGAGAGGGCGCGGGTCCCCAGGCACCCTGCTCACCCTGACACCGGCGGCACAGGGTCCTGAGCACTCGGTGGCTGAGGAAGATGAGCAGCCGCTCCCCTCGCCCCATGGTGCCCAGGCTGGAGTCCCCCAGGTGGCTGGCAAAGGGGTGATGCTCAGGCAAGGACCCTCCACCCACCCCAGGAGCCATCCGACACGGGTGGCCCAGGCAGCCCCGACCTCGCAGGGATGCTCAGAGGCTGCAGCTTCGCGGCCAGCCTTAGCGGCACGCTGCCCACACAATTCCCTCCCTGCTTCTTCCACAGACTCTGCAGGTATCAGCCCCCGGCACCCCGCACCACCCGACGCTTTACGGCACTCCTTCCAAATTGCAACTTGTTTGCTGCGGCAATAAAAATAAATTAACGCTCGTCATGGCTGAGCCGCGGGGACATGCTCTCATCCGGCTTCTGCCGCAAATTAACGCTCGTCATGGCTGAGCCCCGGGGACATGCTCTCATCCGGCTTCTGCCGGAGCTCGCTGCGGGCTGGGACAGTGCTGCTGGGGGCCGGGTGGGAAGGAGGGGAGCTGAGCGCACAGAGAGGTTCAAGTCAGAAGTGTTTTGCCTCCATACAGGCTCCTGCTGCAGCATCCTCCTTCCCCGGTCCGGTCCCCTCTGCAGCATGCCAGGCACAGCACAACCAGGGTGAGCGGCGAAGAGCACCATGTCCCCAACGCATGTCCCTTCCCCACCACGTCCCCCGGGTGAAACGGCACCAAAACCAACCTGTGGCAGAGCCACCCCAGCTCCCACCGAGGCCCCAGGGCAAAGGGGAAGCGGGGCTCAGAGTGGGACCCGCTCCTCCACCCGTAGTGTGCTCGGGCAAAGCAAAACCCATCCCGTTCCCTCCCCAGCGCCCCAGACACCACTGCCTCTCCCACCCCAGCTGGTCGCTGCAGCGAGGGAAGCCGAGACGTGAGTCCCACCAGGACATGGAGCCAGAGCCTGTGTGAGACCCAAAGACCCCAAGGTAAAGGGGGAAAAAAAGATACATACAATCCTTGTACCAAGCCAGTACAAACCCCCGGGGAGGCGGGAGCTCTGGCGAGTGCTCAGTCTGCTCCTGCTGCACATGGCTGCTCCCGGGGGTTTCAGCTCCCCCTTCTCATCCCAGAGCATCAGGCTGCACCCCACGGCCCTGGACCTGTGAAGTGGGCCCTCCCCGTGCCACGGTAGCCCAGGCGGCTTTCCACGCCAGCCGGAAAAGGAGACATCGCTGCCATCTCCACTGCAGGCAGCGCACGCACCCGTGCAGGCAGTGCACGTGTCCCTGCGGGCAGGGCACACGCAGGGCCGGGCAGGTGCAGGCACTAAGCCCCAACCCCAGCGCACCACGGGGCAGGACCACCCCAGCCCACGTCCCCCACCGCTGCCCGCAGCCCCCTTGCGGAAGCGACCCTGCCCTCGCCTCGGCTTCCCAGGGTGGAGCCGGATCCCAGCAGCCGGCGGAGCCGCACGAAGGGCTGGCAGCCCTTCCTGGCCCGGCGTGGGGCTGCAGGCAGGGCAGGGGGCCTGGGCACAGCCACCCCCCCACCAGCATGGACCCCTTGGTGCTGGGCAGCAGAGCACAGACGGGGACACCCCGGAGGCGTCCAGTCTCTCTCCCGCGGCATCCTCTGCAAGGTCAGGGCAGCCAGGAAAGAGGACATGCGGGGAGCAGCCAGCAGCCGTGCTGGGGCATCCCACCGCTGCCTGCTCCCTGCCTGTACAAACGAGAGCCAGTCGCCTGCCAGGCAGCAGGACGCAGCAGGAAAGACAAAATGAGAAATCGGCGTTCACCTCGGCCCAGCTCCCCCCAAGTGAACCATGCCGGAAAACCCCACGAGGACGCTGCCGGTGCCGAGCCGACCGTGGCAACCAGAAAAGCTGCTGAAAGCAAAATAAAACCATTCTTCAGCAGAAAGGAGCCCACGTACCAAATGACATGGCGCACACGGGGAGGTGTGTTACACCAACACAGCTGCCGGCAGCGAAAGCCCCGTGGCAGGCAGGGGCATGTCCCCCCAGGTCCCCCATCACCAGCCGGTGTGCGGTGAGATGGCACTGATGCCTGGTGAGGCATGGACCCGGCTGCCCCCGCCCCAGCGAGCCATAAAGCCTTACTCACCGCCTGTTATCTCCTCCGTGCCCGCACGTTCCTGGGTTTTTATCCTGGGCACTTCCGCGGGAGAACAAGCCCTTTTGGCTCCCTGAGCTTTAGGAGCCCTCGGGGATATCAGCTCTCCCTCGAAAGCTCCAGCGGCCCCAGCAGAGAGCTGGGCACAAAGCTCAGGGAGTCCGATTGGCCAGAGACCCCTGCAGCCCTCGTAGGGCCAGATGGGGCGACCAGCCCCCCCAGACCACCTTTCGGGGGGCAAAGCCCCCAAGCGTGTCACAGGAAGGGCCACGAGGCCAAAGCGAGGGGCCCTGCAGCAGAGCAAGGCCCTTTCGAGGGGCACAGCGGGCGGCAGCAGCTCAGGGAGCCCCTCAAACCACAGAGACCCCAAACCCACAGCCCAGCCCGGTGCTGGCACCCACCCACGCCACGTCCAAACACCGGGTCTGACACTGCCCGTGGTACGGGGCTGCTGCTGCCAGCACCCCCAAAAGCACCGGGGGTGCGGGGCTGCCTGCCCAGGCCAAGCCCCCCCAGCACACCCTGAGGATGGAGGAATTTGGCCAAATGCAATTACAGGTGGTGGCGATGGCTGCTCCGGGGTGCCGGGGCTGGACCTCGCCGAGCCCCCTGTGCCTTCCAGCACGAGGCTGGCCTGCAACCCCCAAGCGTGGGGACCCCCCAGCCATGGCTGGCGGGGTCTCAGCTTTCTGCTGAGGTGGCTCTGGTCCTCCCCACGCCGCCAGGGAGGGAAGCGGCTGCCTGGCCGGGACCCAGCCCTCGTCCCGCTCTGCTTCCCGGCTTCCGGCGCCTCTCACAGCCGTCGCACACCGGCATTAACCCATTTGGCGCCCGCAAGGGCAGAGTCCCCCTCGCCCTCGCTCCCGAGGCCAAAACCCCCTTCTCCAGCTCCGGCTCAGACGAGGCTGCAGCTCACGTGGGCGGCCATCGTGCATCCCATGGGACAGGAGCAGGGTCCAGCCCCGAGCAGGGAGCATTGGTGCGAATGCCCAGCCAGCCGCTCCAAGCTCCCGATGCCAAACCTCTCCCTCCCCAGTGAGGGCACCAGCACCTCCCCGGCCCCTGCACGTGAGCCGTCCCCGCGGCATCTCCAGTGCTGCTGGAGGCAACCACGATGGGGGTAAGGAAACCTTTAGAAGACAGGCATTTAAAAAAAAAAAAGGGATCACCTCCGAGCCGCCCCGTCCCACCCCTCGCCTGCAGGGCTGCGCCAGCACCGGTGGCTCTCTGGGCTGTTTGCTTTTCGGTCACAAAGGTTTAGCGACGAGGGCGCCGGTTTTCCAAAGGAAACCAAAAGCAAACAAAGGCGCCCGCGCTCCCCCGGGAGCCCGTGCCAAGCCCCGCTTTTGGAGGGGCGCAGACGCCCGCAGCCCTTCACCCCCC